GGACAGCGAAGCCCCAGCTCCCTTGGGGGTTTTATAGCTCGTAGCCCCCTTCTGGGCGCTGGCCTCCTCTGACACTCCTAACCCAGGGGCCATATGTCAATGAGTGGAGAGAGCCGAGAGTGGAGAGCTGAGAGTGGAGAGCCATCAACACAAGCATGTGCCCAGTGTTAAAACTGAGCTGCAAGGTGATTTTGACAAGTGAGTGACTGCTGGGCATAGGATCTCATAAACCTGCACATCATGAATGAGGGGGGAGACATGCAGTTTGGCTTCCTTGTCCTGGCACTCATGGCCAGCCTCCCAGAGAAAACCGGGTCTGTGACAAAAATGGGATTTTTGATTCAAATATTTACTGTAAGGATGGGAGCGCTTTCCTTCTGTTACCATGCTGACAGAAGCAGTGACAACGGCATCATTACTCCAGTCAGCCCCCTGCTGAGAGCAGCGAGGAGAGAGCTGGGACGAGGTGCAGGCTGTGTTTTTACTCCCCCTCCTTCCTGCCAATGCAGTGCTCCTGTATTATTAAGCAGGTGGTGGTGTTCACAGACACACAGGAGCTGTACTAGCAGGAAGGAGGTGGGGGAGAGAGAGCACAACCCACACCGCTGAGCTCAGAAGTGTCCAGGAGAGTAGAGAGAGCAGAGTGTGGAGAGAGCCGAGAGTGGAGAGCCGAGAGTGGAGAGCCATCAACACAAGCATGTGCCCAGTGTTAAAACTGAGCTGCAAGGTGATTTTGACAAGTGTGTGACTGCTGGGCATAGGATCTCATAACCTTGCACATCATGAATGATGGGGGGGGGACAAGCAGTTTGGCTTCTTTGCCCTGGGTGCTGGACCTTGTCCTGAGAAGACCGGGTCTGTGACAAAATGTTTGACTCGGACTACTAAAACAAGAGGGCCTCCGAGAGATCTGCTTAGATTGTGAAGCTCCATGACGCTCTCTGCCAGTTGAGGGGAATATGACAATGAAGCAGTTAAAGGAAACGTCACGGAGTGTCAGGTGTGAAGAAGAAGCTGCAGGCGATACTTCCCGCTAAACAACGCAGCGCAGAGAAAAGCCGATTCCTCGCCGAGCAGTCCTGGGTAATCAGACATTTAGGTTTGATTCGCTATTTCTAGGCCACCATCCGGAGCACACCAGAAAAGCACACCCTGTTCTAATGGTCATATTCCTGCGCACCACCACGGTGTGCACAATGACTGAACACTAGGTGCTGAGGCTCCACAACATACAGTGGGGCAAAAATGTATTTAGTCCCCACCAATTGTGCAAGTTCTCCCACTTACAAAGATGAGAGAGGCCTGTAATTGGCATCATAGGGAGACCTCAACTATGAGAGACAAAATGAGAAAACAAATCCAGACAATCACATTGGCTGATCTGGAAAGAATTTATTTGCAAATTATGGTGGAAAATAAGTATTTGGTGAATATGAAAAGTTCATGTCAATACTTTGTTATATATCCTTTGTTGGCAATGACAGAGGTCAGACATTTCCTGGAAGTCTTCACAAGGTTGGCACACACTGTTGCTGGTATGTTGGCCCATCCTCCATGCAGATCTCCTCTAGAGCAGTGATGTTTTGGGGCTGTCGCTGGGCAACACGGACTTTCAACTCCCTCCAAAGGTTTTCTATGGGGTTGAGATCTGGAGACTGGCTAGGCCACTCCAGGACCTTGAAATGCTGCTTACGAAGCCACTCCTTCGTTGCCCGGGCGGTATGTTTGGGATCATTGTCATGTTGGAAGACCCAGTCACGTTTCATCTTCAATGCCCTTGCTGATGGAAGGAGGTTTGCACTCAAAATCTCACGATACATGGCCCCATTCATTCTGTCCTGTACATGGATCAGTCGTCCTGGTCCCTTTGCAGTGAAACAGCCCCAAAGCATGATGTTGCCACCTCCATGCTTCACAGTAGGTATGGTTTCTTTGGATGCAACTCAGCATTCTCTCTCCTCCAAACACGACGAGTTGTGTTTCTACCAAACAGTTCTATTTTGGTTTCATCTGACCATATGACATTCTCCCAATCCTCTTCTGGATCATCCAAATGCTCTCTAGCACACTTCAGACGGGCCCGGACATGTACTGGCTTAAGCAGGGGGACACGTCTGGCACTGCAGGATCTGAGTCCCTGGCGGCGTAGTGTGTTACTGATGGTAGCCTTTGTTACGTTGGTCCCAGCTCTCTGCAGGTCATTCACTAGGTCCCCCCGTGTGGTCCTGGGATTTTTGCTCACCGTTCTTGTGATCATTTTGACCCCACGGGTTGAGATCTTGCGTGGAGCCCCAGATGGAGGGAGATTATCAGTGGTCTTGTATGTCTTCCATTTTCTAATTATTGCTCCCACAGTTGATTTGTTCACACCAAGCTGCTTGCCTATTGCAGATTCAGTCTTCCCAGCCTGGTGCAGGTCTACCATTTTGTTTCTGGTGTCCTTGGACAGCTCTTTGGTCTTCACCATAGTGGAGTTTGGAGTGTGACTGTTTGAGGTTGTGGACAGGTGTCTTTTATACTGATAACAAGTTCAAACAGGTGCCATTGATACAGGTAATGAGTGCAGGACAGAGGAGCCTCTTAAAGAAGAAGGTACAGGTCTGTGAGAGCCAGAAATCTTGCTTGTTTGTAGGTGACCAAATACTTATTTTCCACCATAATTTGCAAATAAATTCTTTCCAGATCAGCCAATGTGATTGTCTGGATTTGTTTTCTCATTTTGTCTCTCATAGTTGAGGTCTCCCTATGATGCCAATTACAGGCCTCTCTCATCTTTGTAAGTGGGAGAACTTGTACAATTGGTGGGGACTAAATACTTTTTTTGCCCCACTGTATATATTATCCTTGAAGGAAAACTTTACAGCTCTGAGCCAAATCGTGTTGTTTTTTAAATGTCCCCCTGGGACCCCCCCACCAAAAAAAGAGACGAAAACAGCTTTGGCTTCAATAGTCACCCTCAATATGGAGGTGTCCCTAGCAGTTCCTCCACTGAATGTCGTCAGGAAGATTAAAGTAGGTGTAAATACTGACCCCCCGCTCACATCTATGCGGCTGTGCAGGACCGCGTTTTGCATGGGCACAAGAGCCTATTCATTTGATGGACTCCCGTGCCCATGACGCGCAGGGAAGAAGTCCCTGCAATTCTTTGGAAAACGCAGCCGAGGTTCCCAGTACAGCTGCACTTTCCAGTGCGGGCGGCGTGCCATTAGAATTAATGGCACCTGCCCACGGGTCCGCATTCCTCTGTGCGGGTGGTGCGGCTGCACGGATTTTCATGCGGATCCGCAGCGGCACCACCCGCACAGATGTGAACCTAGCCTAAAGGTGCGTTACTTTTACAACTTGCCCCCTCCCCCCCTTCCTGAGCAGGCCATTTTTTGCGATACAGCGCTGCATTACTTTAACTGACCGAGCCATGGCACCTCCGGCCTGGAGTTTGCATGTTCTCCCTGTGCCTGCGTGGTTTCCTCCAGGTACTCCAAAGACATGCTGGTAGGTTAATTGGCTGCTGTCTAAATTGTCCCTAGTATGTGTGATGTGAGTTAGGGACCTTAGATTGTACCCCCCTTGAGGGTTAGGGACTGATGTGAATGTACAATACATATGTAAAGCGCTGTGTAAACTGACGGCGCTATATAAGTACCTTAAATGAAAAAAAAAAAAAACTGGCAATTGCGCGGTCATGCAACGCTGCACCCAGATGAATTTGCATCCTTTTTTTTCCCCCACAAATAGAGCTTTCTGTCAGTGGTATTTGATCGCCTGTGTTTTTTTTATTTTTTGCTCTATGAACAAAAAAAATCTGACAATTTTGAGAAAAAAAATATATTTTTAGATTTTTTGCTATTAAACATGTCCAGTAAAAAAATATTAAAAATCAAATTTTGTCACAAATTTAGCCCAAAACGTATTCTGCTCCGTGTCTTTGCTAAACAAAAATCACAATATGTGTAAATTAATTGGTTTACGTGACAGTTAAAACGTCTACAAATGGCGGTACAGATACTGGAATTTAAAAAAAAAATTTTTTCACTAGTATTGGCAGCGATCAGTGACTTATAGCGGGACTGCGGCGGGCATTGTGACACTGGGGGGGGAACTGGCCTGGTGTCACTGACATAGCCAGTGACACCAATACAGTGATCAGTGCTAATAAAAAGCACTGACACTGTACTAATGGCACTGGGCAGGAAGGGGTTAACATCTGGGGTGATCAAAGGGTTAACTGTGTGCTGTGTGTGTTTTACTAAGTGTGCTGTTTTACTGGGCTGTGTGTATGTGTTTCACTGTAAGCTTTGTATGGCTCTGCTATGTAGAGCCATACAAAGCAGTGTGCATGAGCTGACAGGGGAGAGATCTGTGTTGCTTATACACAGGTCTCTCCCGTCGGTAATTCTCGAAGATCGCCGGGTGTTGGCAGGGAATCACTGGCCGAGACCCGGTAATTGACAGCCAAGGCCAAGAATGGCGGCGCAGGTAGGGCGCGTGTGCGCCCCCTACCTGGAACTGCAAAATCACATATATATATATGTGTGGTTTTGCGCACCCCTGACGCCCTGTAGCAGTATTTATGCTATAGAGCGGCGCAGAAGCGGTTAAAGTGGTTGTAAACGCAAAAGTGTGTTACCTTAAAGTGTTACTAAACATTTTGAGAGGAATAGAGAGAGCAGCAGCAGAGAGAATGATGAGGAATGCGGACCCGCGGGCGGGTGCCATTAATTCTAATGGCACGCCGCCTGCACTGGAAATCGCAACCGTACTGGGAACCTCGGCTGCGTTTTCAGAAGAAGTGCAGGGACTTCTTCCCTGCGTGTCCCGGAGCACGGGAGTCCATTCAAAGGAAAGGGCTCTCGTGCCCCCACAAAACGCGGCCCGCACAAAAATCCATTCAGCCGCACCACCCACACAGAGGAATGCAGACCCGCAGGTGGGTGCCTTTAATTCTAAATCCCCCCCTTAGAGTTCCTCCAATCACAGAGCTGGACAAGATGGCAACTTACGCTCAAAGTTCTTGACGATGTGCTGCAGACAGAGGTCGGTGAGCAGTGGGACGATAGCCAGGGACCAGCTGTAGTCCTCTGTGATGATCCGACGCATCTTCCTAAGATCAGCCGCTGCATTTCTGTGATGGATGGGTAGCGGTGCGGGGACCGCCATCTTCTCATTGGCTGCAGACTCCGGCATGGTCGGGACTGGCTGGCCAATCTCAGTTGCACATTCCTGGAGGATGGAGGAGGAGAGGCAGATTATAATTCTGTTCTATAATTCAGCAGAATGTTCACAGTATGGGTTCATCCAAGAAATAAATCCTCACAGGAAGTGAGGGGAAATCTCTCCAGTGGGGACACAGACAGCAATAAAAACTTGACAGAGGCTCTAAACCCCTGGTGCCCACCTGTGGCCTGGGGGCCACATGCGGCCGTTTGGAACTTGCTTTGCGGGCCTTTGCACAACCCAGTGGTCAGCAATGGAAGCAGTCATATGCAAATAGGATTTAATGTCAGTGATCTTTAGAAGTCTCATGTTGCACATCACCAGTCTCTATCTCCTAAAGTGTCTGTCCTGTCCTCTACCACATTTGTTGCATGTCTGCAGTCTTCGATCTTTCCCCTCCAGTGTGTTTTTAGTCTCTGATCGTCTTCTCTGGTATGTCTGCAGTCTCTGATCATCTTCTCTGGTATGTCTGCAGTCACTGATTGCCTCCTCTAAAATGTCTGCAGTCTCTGATTATTTCCTCTAACATGTCTGCAGTCTCTGATCGTCTTCTCTAGTATGTCTGCAGTCTCTGATCGTCTTCTCTAGTATGTCTCCAGTCACTGATCGTTTCCTCTAGTATGTCTCCAGTCACTGATCGTTTCCTCTAGTATGTCTGCAGTCTCTGATTGTCTCCTCTAGTATGTCTGCAGTCTCTGATCGTCTCCTCTAGTATGTCTCCAGTCTCTGATTGTCTCCTCTGGTATGTCTGCGGTCTCTGATTGTCTCCTCTAGTATGTCTCCAGTCTCTGATCGTCTCCTCTAGTATGTCTGCAGTCTCTGATCATCTCCTCTGGTATGTCTGCATTCTATGATTGTCTCCTCTAGTATGTCTCCAGTCTCTGATCGTCTCCTCTAGTATGTCTCCAGTCTCTGATTGTCTCCTCTGGTATGTCTCCAGTCTCTGATTGTCTCCTCTGGTATGTCTGCGGTCTCTGATTGTCTCCTCTAGTATGTCTCCAGTCTCTGATCGTCTCCTCTAGTATGTCTCCAGTCTCTGATTGTCTCCTCTGGTATGTCTGCAGTCTCTGATCGTCTCCTCTGGTATGTCTGCAGTCTCTGATCGTCTCCTTTGGTATGTCTGCAGTCTCTGATCGTCTCCTCTGGTATGTCTCCAGTCTCTGATTGTCTCCTCTAGTATGTCTCCAGTCTCTGATCGTCTCCTCTAGTATGTCTCCAGTCTCTGATCGTCTCCTCTGGTATGTCTGCAGTCTCTGATCGTCTCCTCTGGTATGTCTGCAGTCTCTGATCGTCTCCTCTGGTATGTCTGCAGTCTCTGATCGTCTCCTCTGGTATGTCTGCAGTCTCTGATCGTCTCCTCTGGTATGTCTGCAGTCTCTGATCGTCTCCTCTGGTATGTCTGCAGTCTCTGATCGTCTCCTCTGGTATGTCTGCAGTCTCTGATCGTCTCCTCTGGTATGTCTGCAGTCTCTGATCGTCTCCTCTGGTATGTCTGCAGTCTCTGATCATCTTGTCTAGTATGTAAGAGCATCAGACATAACCCACCATTATAGCACCTTCATTGGGTACAACACATTGTTGCACAAAGAGCTCTACACTAAGCCCAGCTAAGTTCAGCTTTACACAGTGCTCAGTGCTGTCAGGCCTCGACCTCCACCATCATTCACACCGATGACAGCGGAATTATACGTCCAGCTCTTCCTTGGTGCAATGTTCCCACAGAGACCAGCTATCCATATTTTTGGCAAGTGGGGTCACAGGGGGGTCACAGCCTCAGTGACAAAACAATAAATTACATAATCAATCCAGCCATAAATTCTCATTTGGTCGATGGAAGCGAGTGACTCCTCCCCCCCCCTCCATGGTGCCTACGCTGCAGAGTGCTCTGTTCAGGAAGAGATGACCATTGCTCATAGTGACCATAATAAAGATTCTCCTACACAGGGGTCAGCAACCTCGTCCACATCAAGTGCCATTTTTACAAGCAGCCGGTGATCCGGTGAACCACAGTGTGCCCGAGTCTTATGCTGGACATACACAGCTCCGGGACAATTCCTGCTGAATCAGCCTAATTCCAGCTGTGGGGAGCCCTGTCAGTACCATGTGGCTCTGCAAACTTCAATCTGCAAATCAAAGAAACCAGGAGGAACATTGTTGGCTGAACAGTGACAGCAGCCAATCAGGTGGAGTCACTTTTCGGGTTTTCTGACAACCGTGGTCACTCAGGCCACCACCTTGTTTCCCCAAATCCACTGTATCCCCTGCAGACCCCTGACTGGCATGACTGGTGCCCCTGGGTAGAAAGGAGGGAGACTAGCAAACATCCATTCATCTCCCCTACCTGGTAAGAACCTGGAAACAACATGTATGACGTCACTGCCGGGTTCAGCTGTCACTGTGGTCAGTGAAGAAGCTAATGGAGCATAATCTGCGCTCCATTAGCTTCTATGGGGGGCAGCTGAGACATCAGGGGTGAAAGACCCCACACGTCTCAGTAAACAGAACATACAACAACAAAATTCTACATATAAGTCAGAAGAAATGCAGCGCTTGATTTCAAGATTTACAATTAGAGCCATAAGTGATATGTCCATTTCAATGTCAGTTCTTTTGTAACAAAAGTCCTGTGAACATCATAAGTTCCAAATTGTAGGATACACAATGTTGCAGACTCCTAGCTGATCCGTGAAATAACTGTATAGTGATGCACTTACCAGAAGTACATACAAACTGGGCGTTGTATGCAAATACTCCACATAGACATCCAGATCTGGTCATTAGAATGGCGTCATCTAGGGCCACGATCGACTCTCAGGGATGGTGTCACTCACTCATGGGGGTCATCACAGGCTCACCAGAAGGGTCCAACGCCGTCTAGAGTCTGGGGATTCCTCCACCTTAAATGGCTCAGAAAATAGCAAACCAGGAGGCAAAAATGGTACTAATAGTGTGATACCGTTTATTAAATCAAAAAATAATATAACTGGGTAAACTGCAGAGCACTCACATGAAATACAGCATAGTAGAAAAAGAGGTCTTACCCCTTTGAGAAAGTGTGTTTTGCACGAAACATGTTAGGGGAATCCCTCTATTTGACGCTATTTTTATCTGCAACATTGAGTACTGAGGTTATGGTTGTATAGCCTTTTTTTCTACTATGCTGTATTTCATGTGAGTGCTCTGCAGTTTACCCAGTTATATTATTTTTTGATTTAATAAACGGTATCACACTATTAGTACCATTTTTGCCTCCTGGTTCGCTATTTTCTGAGCCATTTAAGGTGGAGGAATCCCCGGACTCTAGACGGCGTTGGACCCTTCTGGTGAGCCTGTGATGACCCCCATGAGTGAGTGACACCATCCCTGAGAGTCGATCGTGGCCCTAGATGACGCCATTCTATTGACCAGATCTGGATGTCTATGTGGAGCATTTGCATACAACGCCCAGTTTGTATGTACTTCTGGTAAGTGCATCACTATACAGTTATTTCATGGATCAGCTAGGAGTCTGCAACATTGTGTATCCTACAATTTGGAACTTATGATGTTCACAGGACTTTTGTTACAAAAGAACTGACATTGAAATGGACATATCACTTATGGCTCTAATTGTAAATCTTGAAATCTAGCGCTGCATTTCTTCTGACTTATATTTACTACTGAGGTGATGAGGTATACCTTTTATGCTAGCAGCTTTGTAACATTAACATTATATTTGGGTTGCAATACCGTATAAGGTGGGACCTGTATCTTTTTGCGCTCATTCATTTATATTTATCTTAAACAAAATTCTACAGTTGTCATATATAAAGCGGATGAGGGAGCGATCGTTCTATTTATTGTTGTTGAGGCGAGAGTTCGATAGCCGATATGGAATGTAAAACTCCTCTATCCAAGAAATGAATTTTCCTGCAGCCTCAAGTCCAACGGTTCTTTTCCAGAGAGACGCATTTATTCAGATAAAGATGCAGCAGATGACAAAGTCTAGATGAATATTTGTAAATATTACAACCAACAACAGGCCTCAGAGTCCCATTATCAAGCATAGAGATACACCACCGCCCAGCATTTCATCCAACCTGTGATATGCACCGAGGCAGCTTCCATGCATGCAAGAATGCGAGTTCGGATCTATACTGGGCATCCATGATCACGTTGTGTAAGCATCATAAAACCTTTTCTTCCTATACAATTTCTACCTCCATCTAAAAACAGCTGATTGCTTGGTCATCCTAACATGAAAAGTCCCTACTTGCATTTTACTAAAAACAACAATTAAAGCGGCGCTCCACCCAAAAGGGGAAGTTCCGCTTTAAGCCTTTGTCCCCCGCTTCCCATTAACCCCTTCATGACACTTTTCCCCCCCTTCCGGACACTTTCCCCCCCTTCCAGTCCGGACACTTTAACCCCCTTCCAGTCCGGACACTTTCACCCCCTTCCAGTCCGGACACTTTCACCCCCTTCCAGTCCGGACACTTCCCCCCCCCCCCCTTCCAGTCCGGACACTTTCACCCCCTTCCAGTCCGGACACTTCCCCCCCCCCCTTCCAGTCCGGACACTTTCACCCCCTTCCAGTCCGGACACTTCCCCCCCCCCCCCCCCCCCTTCCAGTCCGGACACTTTCACCCCCTTCCAGTCCGGACGCTTTTCACCCCCTTCCAGTCCGGACACTTTCCCCCCTTCCAGTCTGGACGCTTTCACCCCTTCCAGTCCGGACACTTTCCCCCCCTTCCAGTCCGGACACTTTCCCCCCCTTCCAGTCCGGACACTTTCCCCTCCTTCCAGTCCGAACACTTTCACCCCCTTCCAGTCCGGACACTTTCCCCTCCTTCCAGTCCGAACACTTTCACACCCCCCTTCCAGTCCGGACACTTTCCCCCCCCTTCCAGTCCGGACACTTTCCCCCCCTTCCAGTCCGGACACTTTCACACTTTCTCCCCCCCTTCCAGTCCGGACACTTTCCCCCCTCC